AAAAATGCGAAAAAGCTATTCCCACATTTCAATTATCATCCCCACTCCATTAAATTTATTCTTATTATGTGTTCTTAAAAATATAAGATTATACGAAAAACTAAATTTTGAAAAATCTGATTGATTTAATGATTAGATGCCTGAGGATTGTGGACCCGCAGTGGATTGCGTTCCTATACTTGATTTTCTCCCCAGAGGTTAACATCATTCTTCGCTTTATTGTGTCTAATTAAAAGAAAAATTGTAAGAAATTAGTTAAATTCATTTCTAAGAACTGAATCGGAATTTATATTTTGACTAATTTAAACTTTTTATTTTATTAATATTGAATTTTCGTTTTAGAAACTGATTGAAATTTAAGTTATTAACATTTTTGAAAGTACTTATAAAGCCTCATCAATAATTTGTTAAACCCAATTCTTAATTTTTTTTGTAAAAGACACGTACAGAAAATTTTCAGCAGGTCAGGTTTTACATTTTTTACGCTCGCAGAGAAGAAAAATTAATTGTAGTAGAGAAAATATTTGTGTCCAAAACATTATAATAATAGTTAAAATAAATAAATAAATAATTAAATAATTCAATTTCAATCTGTTTAAGGTTTTCAATTTTAAACTAAAACAAAGATTCGCTTAGCATTTGAAGTTCGTTATTTTCTAAATATGAATTAAGGATAACTTATGAAATGTCAGGATAAGAAGATATATTTCCTACCTAAAGGATACACGCAGAGACTAGATGTAGCAACCACAGCCCAACCCAAGAAGAAAGATTTATATACACTGGACTAACAGAACAAATAATTCATGATGTTTGATAAATCCACCATATCGGCGTTATTAATGGGACCTTGGGAGATTATCTTGGCCACTCTTGCAAATAGCATAAACTCAAATCCCCCCCCCCCTCAATCCAGTCAAATTTCTCAATCTACCGACCCTCTCCTCTCATCACTCACTCTCCAATTCAAATAATATCTAGATGCATCCAATTTCTTTTCATTCTTTATTAAACTTCATAGTGGTCTTGCTATCATTTTCTTTCTATAATATTTTCGCCATTCCATTCTTAAAAGATTTATAAGAATTTTAGTAAGAATCAACGTACACAAAATTACATGAAGATCTTTATCAAAAAGTCTTTATTACAGGGTCACCCAGATAGGAAAAGACTTTAAAGACGACCTAAAAATTGTTCTTATGTCTTAAATAAAGCCTGAGAAGATACAGCAGTTTGTGAAAAATATGGCAATGCGGAAAAAAATTTACAGTCGGAGGAAACCAAGAATGCAAGTAGAAAGTGTAGTAAATTTTGTACAATCGTCTCGTGAAGTTTCATCCTATATTTTTAACCCTGTAAAATCTACCACTTTGTAGCTCGTGTAGCTCGTCCCAATCTATTGGTTTTCTTCTCTTGACGATCGACAGTATTCAAAACCCAAATGCCAATATAAAATGTTTTAAGTCGCATATCATTTGCTAATTGTTTTCCTTGTGCTTAAAAAGAATAGGTTTAGCTGTATCGTATAGACCAAAGTAAAGGCCCCTAAAAAGATTATGTTAAGGTTGAAATTAATATAGCTTTTTATTTAAATAAGTACAAGATATAACAAAAAAGATTTTCCTTCATAATTTTTCTTGTTTGTTTGACCAACCTGTAAACAAAAGCGCCAAAAGCAGCAATTCCAAATCCTCTAAATATAGCAACATCAATCGCAAAGTATTATGTAAAATTGTTCAAGATAAATAAAGCAACATCTATAGCAAAGTNGAATAAATCCAAATCTCTTTCAAAGAATCAGATAAATTTTATTCAGCTAATGAGAAGATCAAATGTGAATATTAAACACGAAATAAGAAAACAATAAAAAGTAAGTGAAAGATGGAAAAAAATCAACTGATGAACTAAAATCAAATCGGAAAGTACCCTGACATGAATGCAAGAATGTATGAAGGAAGAAAGTAACCTGTAAAGTCCTCTGAACCCATCTGTTTGAATAGTTTTACGAAAAACATCTACCAGTCCAGAGAATTGTCGGACCCCATTCATGTTCTTAAACCAAAACATTATTTAAACTAAAATGAATATTACCTAGTTTTGTTTAATAAAAATAACTCATTATTTAATTGTGGTTTAAGTTTATAACTTGAAAAAAAAATTTTAAATGATGAAATTTATTCAATATTATTTAATATAGATAAATTATTTTGTTGGAAAAGTTTCCTTTTGTAAAATAAATAGTCTACAAAAATAATTAAAATAAATTCCATGTTGTCAAAAGAGAATTAATATAAAATAAGATTAAGTTTTCACTTTTAAGTGTAAAAGGGAGAAAAAAGTATAATACGATAATTTTTTTACTTTTAACATTTTTTTTTGTAAGCGTCCGTAATGTATCATTATTATTATTTCTAGCTTGGGAACCCAGCGTGGCCCAGAAAGTCATAGTTAGTCCACCGTGTTTAACGGCCCTTGCAGTAAATTACGATTTCAGCTATTCTTTTTTGTAAAGTGGACCCACCCGATCTAGAATCTCAAAGCTCAGAACATTCCTGCGGGTTCCCCAATCAAAATTTAAGGCAAATTGGTCCATGGGTTTCTGAGTTACTAACGGACAAACAAACAAACAAACTAACAGAGATTACAACTTTATATATATATAGATATGCAATGGTTCCTTAGTATCGTTGGCTAATCTAGTTCTAGCATAGTCCAGGGAGAAAAGTAAACTCAGGGAGGCGGTTCCAGCAGACCCGCCTAAAATAAAAATTGAAGGTTGGGAATATTCTAAAAAACGAATTATCTTTATTTTTAGGTATTATCCTCATTTTTTTTAAATGGGCGGGCTACCGGCTACAAACTTTTTTGTTGCCTTTTCGCGATACTTTTTTTTGTTTAAGTCGTTTTTATAGCAATAAGAACCTCAAATTGTAATTTTTGGTTTCATGCAAAAATTGTCAAAAATTGCGTTTTTTTTTACATTCTACACTCTACAGTCTTCACACCCGGTGTAGATTAAAATAAGAATTATGCCATAAAGCCTTAACATTTCCATTCCACGACCCACTAATTAAGTACACCTAAAGGTTACCTCTGAACTTGAAATAGAAAGCCATAGTCTATTAACGGAAGGGGGGGGGGGGGCATTCCCCACCTTAGATATTGTGTATTGAACTATAAAATTTAAAAAAAATAGTAAATTCTGGACTTAAAACATTTCATTACCTGAAATAACATTGTAAAATAATTTCTTTTGGAAAGATCCATGTTTGGGAACCTGTAAATACAAGATTTTAACAGATATAAAGGTTTCTTAAAATAGTTATAATTATATTCTACTGGAGTTAATTTTTATTTAATTCTACCTGCATTACACAGTTTCTTTTATTCTACCTGCAGTACATTGTTTCTTTTTTTCTACCTGCAGTACATTGTTTCTTTTATTCTACCTGCAGTACATTGTTTCTTTTATTCTACCTACAGTACATTGTTTCTTTTATTCTACCTGCAGTACATCGTTTCTTTTATTCTACCTGCAGTACATCGTTTCTTTTATTCTACCTGCAGTACATTGTTTCTTTTATTCTACCTGCAGTACACTGTTTCTTTTATTCTACCTGCAGTACACTGTTTGTTTTATTCTACCTGCAGTAAACTGTTTCTTTTATTCTACCTGCAGTAAACTGTTTCTTTTATTCTACCTGCAGTACACTGTTTCTTTTATTCTACCTTCAGTACACTGTTTATTTTATTCTTCCTGCAGTACACTGTTTCTTTTATTCTACCTGCAGTACACTGTTTCTTTTATTCTACCTGCAGTTTAATGTTTCTTTTATTCTACCTGCAGTACACTGTTTATTTTGTTCTACCTGTAGTTTAACGTTTCTTTTATTCTACCTGCAGTTTAATGTTTCTTTTATTCTACCTGTGTACACTGTTTATTTTGTTCTACCTGTAGTTAATGTTTCTTTTATTCTACCTGCAGTACACTGTTTATTTTATTCTACCTGCAGTTTAATGTTTATTTTATTCTACCTGCAGTAAACTGTTTATTTTGTTCTTCAGGGCAAAGTTTAATGATATTGTTGGAATATACCTTAACAAAAATATGAATCAAAAAGTTATATCTATAAGAATAAAGTGGTCTCCTAGCTTAGGAAAGTTTGACGCATAAAAACACAAAAGTAAATGATCAGAATAATTCGCTGCTTAATATCAGATTCTAGATTTATTCACAAATGAACACAACACCTTGAGGCATTAAAATATATGTTTTTCTCAGAAATTTAAATTTAATTGTATTTATTTCTAATGTCTTCTATGCTACAGAAACAATGGAAAATATTAACAGATTAGAACACTTGTGAGCAAAAAGTCGACGATATCTTATACATCCTGATCCGACAAAGGGTTAAGAATACTATTGTGAATCGGACATGACCCTCATTAAATCAAAGGACAGTATTTTTTATTAATAAAAATATTCAGAAAGGTACCTAATGATATTTGTAAGATTTCCTCTCCAGAAAGAGAGTATGCCCTCGCTCGAATAAATCCGTGTCAGACAGTCTCGAAATCCTTTATATGGAACCTCTAGTCGTCCTTGCTAAATTTAGTTTATAATTAAAAATATTGATAAGTATTCCTACCTGACAAAAATATTTACACCCGGTAATCTTTCTATATATTTAATACTAGCTGAAGTACCCGGCGTTACCCGGAGAATTTTAGAAACAATTAAAAAAAGATGTTATAGCCCGTTACCCCCAGGGTACCCAAGGGTTTCCTCAAGAGAATTTAGCCAATTTGTTCCAG